GGAGGTTATTAGCTGCCAGGTGGGTGCTGGGAACAGAACCCTGGTCCTCTGCAAGAGCAGCTGTAATAGCTGAACCATCTCTCCAGCCCCCTTATATTTATTATTATTCTGAGAGAGAGAGAGAGAGAGAGAGAGAGAGAGAGAGAGAGAGAGAGAGAGACAGAGGCAACATAGAGCAGAACCCACTGTAGGGTCCCCTTGAGATCAGCAAAGAGCTATGTAAACCAGGCATTTTCTCAGTAGACTGTCAGGTGCCTTTGATCTGACATGCTTTGTACATGAGATGCTCATCACACTCCTAGGGAACTGTGAGAAAATGGTAGCCCCTCAGCACAGGTCACAGGGGAAGGTTGTGCCTGTCCACCCTCCAACCTGGGACTTGGGACCACCTGTCCGCAGAGCTCAATACCAAGATGATGGACTTTGAAACGTTCCTGCCCATGCTTCAGCACATCTCCAAGAATAAGGACACTGGCACCTATGAGGACTTCGTGGAGGGGCTGCGGGTCTTTGACAAGGAGGGTAATGGCACAGTCATGGGTGCAGAGCTTCGACATGTGCTAGCCACACTGGGTAAGGACAACAGCCTCTTCCTCCAGGGGCATCCTGGGAGAAATCTTTATGTCACCTGCCACTGGTCTGTGTCTCATCTGTGAAATTAAAATGGACAGAGTGACAGCCAAGGTACCTAACTGGCAAGAGGTAGAGATCAGGAAAGCTGGAAGATCTAAAGGGATGGGAACAGCTCCAGGAACAGGGCAGGAAAGTACTTTAGGATTACCTTGTTCTGGTGTTGCTGTTCTCTGCAGTCAAGGAGGTGACATATCTGTGATTTCCGTGGGCTCTGGGCAACACCTACTTTCATCCCCACTATCATCCGACCATCAGGGCCTCAGCTCTTCAAATATAACTTTTTCTTGCAGCAAGCATTTATTGAACACCTGCTGTGTTCAGCTCTATGCCTCTCTCTCTCTCTCTCTCTCTCTCTCTCTCTCTCTCTGTAGATAGAGGAGTCTGAGAGAGCTGAGGATGGGGAGCTACAGTTGGTACTGCATTATGGAACAACACAGCACAGTATGGTGTCAGAAAGTACCAGTTTTGGGCTAGGAATGTGGCTCAGTTGAGAGACTGCTTGTGTAGCATGCATGAATGCCAACATGGGAGCTAGAAGCAGGACAAAGTTCAAGGTCACCTTCAGCTACCTAGCTTTAGTACCTTGAGGCCAGCCTTAGATATATGAGACCCTATCTCAAAAAAAGTTCTAGACTTGTCTATGGAGCAGTGAGGGTCTCTCAGTTTCCTCCACAATCATCTCTCAAAGCTCTGTCCAACAACCTTAAAGGGATGGCCCAAGGGACTGCTACCAAAGAGGAAGGGGAACTCTGCTAGCCTAGTGGGGATGGAGGACAGTCCACACACCTAGATGCCCAGGCTCAGAGGAGGCTCCAGTTCTGCACCTCAGGGCCTTGCCATTCTTGAGTCTTCTGGTGTCATAACTGGGGGTGTTGGCCATTGTCTTGGGAATATTGGAGAAGGGCAGACTAACCATCCAGGGGGTTAGTCCATTCCTCTGGGTGCTGTAACTTGGCCTTTCACCCGCCTCAGGTGAAAGACTAACAGAGGATGAAGTGGAGAAATTGATGGCTGGGCAAGAGGACTCTAATGGCTGCATCAACTATGAAGGTGGGCTCAGCAGGGCAGGGGTCTCCTTGGGAGGAGGTATGGGGGACTCATATTATAAGGGCTAGGAGTTTTCTGGGAAGGAGGTATTGGGGGACCAAGCTCAGTGGAGGTGGACTCTTGGGGTCAGGGGGACCCAGCTCTACCCTGCTGCTCACTGTGAGCCCCTGACACTAATCTCCCTCTTCCTTCCAGCATTTGTCAAGCACATCATGGCCAGCTGAGCCTGTCACAGGTGAGAACGCCCCCCATCCCCTTCCACACCCATTGTTACTGTCTCTCACCTGTTACTATCTCCCCTGACTGCAGCTCTCAGGATGTGCTCTTGGGATCCAGCCCTTCCTCTGTAACCTGTGGCTTCTTTGCTTCAGGGAGCCCTGGGCAGGCCAAGTTGGGGACATCTCATCTCCCATCCATGATGCTGACACCGGTGGACTGGAGGTTGGAAAAGGAGGGGAGTGGACCAGACTCCAGTGCATGGCCCTAGACCTCTCTGTGTAGTTGTCTTTTCTGGCTCCTATTGGGCTGTGCTTACCTGTGATTGCCTTTTCTATCTCCACCTCATGGGCCTTACAATAAATGATTGCCTGCCTTCCTTTTTCTTCCTTCCTTCTCTCTTCCCTCTCTTCCTCCCTCCCTCCCTTTCCTTCCTTCTTTCCTCTCTATAGCCCACTAACTCACCTCTGTCCATTTTACGAGGCTGAGGTAGAGGAAGCCCTCTCTTTGCTACTGCTCTCGCTCCTGCTTTCTGGAGATGACAGCCATGTTGGCCCAATACAAGGATGCCATTGGAAGCCTGAGAACCATTGTCTGAGCAATCAGGCAACCATTTGGGGCATTGGCATTGAGTCACTGGTGTCACTGAAGCCCAAACTGAGGCCCAGTTCAGGGGATGGCCTTGTCCCCAGGCTGTCAGGGGTGTTAGCCATTGGCTTGACTCAGATGAGGAAGTTGAGGTATTCTGCACTAGGAAAGAGGCAAGGGCCTTGCTGGGGCGGTGCTGGGTCTGCCAGTGGGTCCCTTGGCCCCAGTTTCCCAGAAGAAGTTAAGGTCACGAGATCCAGTGAGCAGAGTGAGGGGAGGCTTCCTGGAGGAAGCTTAGTAGGGAGGAAGAACAAAGTCCCCATGTTGGACTGGATACAGGAAGTGTGGGGGAGATGGAGGGCTCAGAGGAAGACTGGGCTACACAGGGTGAGAACAGCCACAAGACCAGAGGTACCCAGGAGCTGGACAGCCTCATCAGGTCCATTTCCATGACCTGTTGTGCATTCAAGTGGGTCTTGCAAGGTGGCAATCTGGGTGTTTGAGAGCAAGCTCAAAGGCTTGTGTTAGCCAGACTACCTGAGAGTGCTGGTGTGGCGGGGGTAGAGGGGGTGTGGACCCCTGAGTGTGTTGGGATTGTGAGTGTGTCTAGATAAGCTTGTATGGGGGGAGTGTATGTGAGAGGGTATCAGTGTGTCATGGGGATCTGTTGCTTTAGTTCTTTTATTGAGCACCAGCTGTGTGTCAGGCTCTACTCCAGGCACTGGGGACATAGTGCTTGAGAGACTAGTAAAAGGCTCTGTGTGGAGCCCAGGAAGAGCAGACACGTCACCAGACTCCTATGGGTCAAACAGCAATGGGGACTGAGGACACCCTGAAAGCTGGGAAGGGGCTGGAATTTGTGTGTGGGTGTGAGGGACAGAAGGGAGGGACTTGAGAGCGGGCTGATCTGTAAATAATGAGGTCAGGGATTATATGAGAAGGTAAGAGTACGACAAAGATTTGAAGGACAGGAGATAATACTCTGAGTATGTAAAGAACTCATATAAATCACCCCTTCGGAAACAACGTGATTAAAGACTGGGCAAAGGACCTGAAAAAACATTTCTATAAAGAAGATGGACACAGGACTGGGGATATAGCTCAGTGGTAGAGTGCTTCTATAAGGCCTTAGCTTCAGTCCCCAGTACCACAAAAAATAAAGATAAAATATAAAATAAAAATAAATTTTAAAAAATTATATGCATTAGGGCTGGTAAGATGGCTCAGTGGATAAAGGTTCCTGTCACTAAACTTGACAACTTGAGTTCAATTCCTGGGACCCACATGGTAGAAGGAGAAAACTGACTCCTGAAAATTGTTCTCTGATCTCCATACATAACGTCATGACACACGTGCATCCCCTCCATATACACAACGACATGCATGCAAAATAAATAAATGTAATAAAAAAAATTTAAAGATATGTAAATGGACAATTAACCAGCAAAGTGGTGCTGAGAATGAAACCTAGGGTCTCATACATCCTTGGAAAATGCATTTTTTTTTTTCAGACAAGGTCTCACCATGTAACTCTGACTGACCTGGAACTTGCTGTATAGATCAGGGTGTCCTTGAACTCATAGAGATGGGCCTCCCAAGTGCTGGGATGAAAGGAATGCATGACCATGGCTAGCTACAATGGAATATTATTTACACTTTAAAAAATTTTGGTTTTTAGCCTGGAGTGGTGGCGCATGCCTTTAATACCAGCACTCGGGAGGCAGAGGCGGACAGACCTCTGTGAGTTCGAGGCCAGCCTGGTCTACCGAGTGAGTTCCAGGCCAACTGGGGCTACAGGGAGACCCTGTCTAAAAAGAATTATTTATTTTTTATATCTATGAGTGTTTTGCCTACATGTAAGTGCTCCATGTATGTGCAATACCTGTGGAAGCCAGACAAGGGTGTTGGCTCCCCTGGAACTGGAGTTACGGACAGTCATAGCTGCCAGGTGGGTGCTGGAAACCAAACCCGGGTCATTTCCAAGAGCAGCCAGTTCTCTTAACCACTGAGCTATCGCTCCAGTCCCAATTCGCACTTTTTATTTCTTTATTTTTGAGTCAGGGTATCACTAGTCATTAGAGTAAGGCAAATCAAAGTTGTAATCTCACTGACCAGGAGGTTGAGACATGAGAAATGCTATAAATTGGAGGCCAACCTGGGTTACATAAAGAAATCAGCTAAAAACCAGAAAACAAACAAACAAATATAGTCAACATCTCTAATCCCATTATTTGGAGGCAGAGGGAAGTAGATCTTTGTGAGTTCAAGGCAGCTAGGGCTATGTAGTGAGACCCTGTAACAAAACAAAACAAAACCCCAAACCTTCCCCCCAAAACAAATTAAAATAAAGCAAGAAAACAAAACCCACAGCAGCCATCAGGACAGCTGTCACATTAGAACATATGCGTTAGTGAGGATGTGAAGTGCTTGTTGCACTGTTAGTGAGAAGGTAAAAGGGTAAAGCCGCTATGAAACAGTATGACAGTTCTTCAACCTGCCTGAACACACACACACACACACACACACACTCACACACACACTCACATTCACACACACGCACACACTAAAAATAGAGTTGCCATATGACACAGCAATTCTGAGTATCTACCTCCAAAACTAAAGACAGGGTCTCAAATATGTAATTTACACCTATGTTCTTAGCAGCACTGTTTACAGTAGCCCAAGCAGGAGACAAATCAAATGTCCACTAATGGACAAAACATAGCAGATACATACTAAAGCAGAATAATGTGGTACTGAGGGTTGGAACCAGGACCCAGGACCACATACATATTAAGCAAGTGCCATTCAATAGAATATAAATTTAGTCTTTTTTTTTTTTTTAAATAAGGGTCTTGGGGCTGGAGAGATGGCTCAGTGGTTAAGAGCACTGACTGCTCTTGCAGAGGACTCAGGTTCGATTCCCAGCACCCACATGGCAGCTACGAACCATCCTTAACTCCGGTTCCAGGGGAATCTGAAGCCCTCTTCTGACCTCCGAGGCATTGCATGACACGGGTGCACTCATATACATGCAAGCAATACATTTGTACACATAAAATAAAATAATGTATAAAAAAGAGTCTTATTAACTAGCCCTGACTAGCCTGGAACTTGCTGTGTAGACCATGTGGTCCTCAAGCTTGTGGTAATCCCCCTGTCTCAGTCTTCTGAGTACTAGGGTTAAGGATGTGTGCCACCACACCTGATTTCTTCTGCTTCAAAGAGAAGGGAATTCTGACACATGAGTGAGCCTGTATGGGTGGGACTGGGTGGTCTCAGCATTTCCCTTTTGGAAAGTTCCATCTTGGGCAGGAGTCCTGAGCGGGAATGTACCTGATTTCAGTCATCTCTAGGCAAGAAGTGGCCCTGTCTCCAAGTTCACATGTGTCTCAGTCTGAGAGGTTTATGTGTCTCACTCTACCAAGAATGTTTGCCCCTTCTCTAGTACTGCCAGTTCTCTCTCAAAGATATCCTTTCTGGAAGGCTCCCTTAGGTAGTTAGAGAACTTAACTTGGCTTGGTGATGGGAGGAAGCATCCCACACATCTCTCTATGACAGAGCACCCCGACCCCACTGGGCTTCTTGCGTAGGCCAGGAAAGAGGGGGCATATTGAGGCTGCTGGAGGTAGGCCCCTGGACAGCTGCATCTGATGAGTTCTGGCTTGGGTAGTGTGCCGTTTACTCTTCTAGGTGCTGTGATGAAATACCTGACAAAAGTAACTTAAGGGTTTATTTTGGCTCACAGTTTGAGGGTACAGTTCATCATGGCAGAAAGGTTATGGTGGCAGGGCATGAGGTGGCTGGTCACACTGTGAACCAGAGAGAGATGAACAGTGGTGCTCAGCTCCCTTTCTATTTTGTATTCCACCCAGGACCCCAGACCACTTCAGTTAACTTAATCTAGAAACTCCTTCACAGACATGTCCAGAGATTTGTTTGTTAGGTGATTCTACATGTGTGTTTGCTTCTGTGTGTATGTGTGTCTGTGTGTTTGTGGGTATGTCTGAGTGTGGATGTGCCGGGGGGCTCCGCTGAGTCAGCGCCCAAGCTGGGCAGGCAGCACTGCCAGCCAGGCTGTGGCCTCCCCACAGTTGCATAAACACTGGTCCCAGCTCCCCCCTCAAGCAGGGTGGTCCAGCCTGTGGCCCTGCTGCTGATGAAAGGAATATGAAGGGGTGAGGGGTCTCTCCCTCTGGGCCTCAAGTGTCAGGTCATGGGCTCTCTCTACCTCTTCTGGTCTGAGCTGGAAACCCGGCTTCTCAGGTGGCTGGAATAGCTGCCTCTCTGGTACTGATTCAGGCAGAACCAGAGGGTTGGCCAGGGGCAGAGTTCAGAGTCCCCTTGAAACTGCAGAACCTAGCTCGGATGGTCCACTGACAGTGAGAAACAAAGATAGTCCAACGGACCCTTGGAACTCATGTGTTCAGGGTTTGGAACTTAAATCCAAAGGACAGAGAATTAGGAAAGCTGGGCCTATGATGTCTCCCGGTTGTTCTGAAGTCCTGCAGGGCCACCCATGGCTCTTGGCAACCTTCCACATCCTGTGTCCTCTTTTCCAGATGCCATTCCCAGGGACTCTGGGGTCACCAGGGGGACACGTATTAGGTCACATAGTCACGTGGAGCTGAGGTACAGGAAGGCCAGATATTCAGGCTGAAGCCTAATGAAGTAAGGTTCTTGCAGAAACGAGGCATTGTATGAATGTTTTACCAGGCCGCAGAAGAAATCAGACAGCCAGCAAGAGAAACTGGACGGTGAGGCACAAAGCTATTGGCTGCAGAAGGG